CTACTCTTGAGTCGATCCCCGTTGTTAATGAGTTTCCAAAAGTATTCCCAAATGATTTACCCGATATTCCTCCCGAAACGGAAATACCGTATGGCTCAGATACGCAACCTATTTCTATTCCTCCTTACCGTATGGCTCCGACAGAACTAAAGGACTTGAAAGAACAATTGAAAGATTGGTTAGATAAGATCTTCATCCGACCTAGTATCTCTCTATGGAGTGCTCCAATTTTGTTTGTTAGACAAAAGGATGGTTCTCTTCATATATGCATTGGTTATTGTCAATTGAACAAGGCGACCATTAAGAATAAATATCCTCTTCCAAGGATAGATGATTTGCTTGACCAACTTCAAGGAGCAAGTTACTTCTCTAAGATTGACCTTCGATCGGGTTATCACCAATTGAGGGTGAAGGAAGATGACATTCCAAAGACAGCTTTTCGAACTCAGTATAGTCATTGTAAGTTTTTTGCAATGTCATTTGGATTGGCTAATGCTCCGGCGACATTTATGGATTTGATGAATAGGGTTTTTACACAATACCTTGACATGTTTGTGATTATGTTGATTAATGATATATTGATCTACTTGAGAAGTGAGGATGACCATATTGATCATTTGAGGATCGTGTTGCAAATTCTCAAGGACCAACAACTCTTTGCAAAGTTTAGCAAATGTGAATTTTGGCCAAGGTCCATAGCTTTCCTTGGTCACATTGTTTCAAGTAAGGGTATTGAGGTAGATCCTAAGAAGGCGGATGCAGTCAAGAGTTGGCCTAGACCTCTATCTCCTTCGGACATTAGAAATTTCTTGGGCTTGGTTGGTTACTACAGAAGGTTTGTTGAGAGGTTTTCTTCGATTGCCTCTCCATTGACAGCATTGACACAAAAGAAGGCTAAGTCCATATGTTTCGAAGCTTGTGAGAAGAGCTTTCAGGAATTGAAGGATAGACTTACTTCCGCTTTGGTGTTGACGTTACCAGAAGGAATGGATGGTTTTGTTGTTTATTGTGATGCCTCGAGAATTGGGTTAGGATGTGTGCTTATGAAAAATGAGAAAGTTATTGCCTATGCTTCAAGGAAACTAAAAGTTCATGAAAATAGTTATCCTACCCATGACCTTGAACTGGCGGTGGTTGTGTTTGCCCTAAAGATTTGGAGGCATTATTTGTATGGTGTTCATGTAGATGTGTTTACCTATCACAAGAGTTTGCAATATGTGTTTAATCAGAAGGATCAAAATCTTCACCAAGGAAGGTGGCTTGAGTTATTGAAGGATTATGATATGAGTGTTCTCTATCACTCCAGTAAAGTGAGTGTGGTTGCAGATGCTCTTAGTCGGTTGTCTATGTGTAGTGTTTGTCATATTGAAGAAGATAAGAAGGAATTTGTTTGAGATGTTTATAGATCTTCCGGGTTGGGTGTTCAGTTTGTGGACTCCACCAAGGGTGGTGTTATAGTTCACAATGGTTCTGAATCGTCTTTTGTGACAGATGTGAAAACCAAGCAAGGTCTTGATCCAACATTTGTTGAATTAAAAGAAGCGGTGATTAAAAAGTCCATTGAGGCTTTCTCCCAAGGGGGAGATAGGGTACTTAGATATCAAGGTCACTTGTGTGTTCCTAATGTAGATGGATTGAGGGAACAGATCTTTTAAGAAGCCCATAGTTCTTGGTATTCCATTCACTCGGGAGCCACAAAGATGTACCGTGATTTGCAGGAGGTCTATTGGTGGAATGGGAAGACGAAGGATATTGTAGGATTTGTGGATAGATGTCCTAATTGTTAACAAGTGAAAGTTGAGCATTAGAAACCGGGAAGTTTGTCCCAAGACATTAGCATTCTGATAAACGCTCATCCACTGCTAAGTGTGGGTGATCGTAATCTAGTATAAAACCCAACAAAAGGTTGGGGTCGAACCCATAGGGAGAAATACAAGTTCGAATTCAGTTACAAAGTTATGAATGTAATCTAATTGGTGGTAGGAATAGAAATTATCAAAAACATTTAGTTAAATTGAAAAGGGTGACAACAAATGTCAGATGTGGGGATTAGGTTTATCAATTAGCAAATAAAACAATTACGAAAACAGGGGTTTTAACAAGATTAAGAGGAATTCTCGGGATGTGATCAATTATAAGTTAATTACACTATATAGGTAATTGAAATTTTACAATAATCTACTGAATCATTGTGGGTAGGCTAGACTATAAGTGCAATAGTTTTCTCTCGAACAACTATTACGGTTTGGGTGAGTTCTCTCGAACCTCGACAAGCTTTACACTACAAAACAGCCCACAACCTTAATTTATCCACTCTCTCGAGCTAGATAAGTAGAATCGAGTTTAGGATTCACTCTATCGAGTTGAACCCATATAAACCCAATAACTACAATCATTAATCAAAAGCTTTGGTTCCAAAACCACTTTTTCAAGCAAGCCAAGAACTCTAAGTTAGAATTGCATTAGCAACTACAATTAATAGATTAAAACCCAGCTAATGATTAAACCCACATTAAAACAACAAATAAATCATTAAACAACAATACCCATAAGCTAATTAGACAAATAATCAGATGATCACACCCCAAGAATTGGGGTTTTAGTTACACATCATAAAAAGAGAGAAACGATTAGCAAATACATTAGTCATGATCTGGGTAAAAGTTCCCAAGTCTTTACAATGGTCCAAATAGACTAAATTCCAAAACCAACTTGCAAATCCTCAAGTTTTAGGTTCAAAAGCTTCAAAGTCTACAATGGAAACTCAAAAACTCAGAGAAAAACTCAAAACTCTCGAACTCATGGAAAGAGAAACGTAAGAAGTCTCTAAAATTTCATTTAAAATTACTATTTATAGTTGCCCAATTTTTCGCCTGAAAGACAATTGGGCGAAGTAAGTCGGGCCTCAACGAGCCAGTCGGCGATCCGCCCTTTGCTCCAATCCATCACCGGTTCGCATTGGCCTTTTGTCTTCAGGGTTCTGTGACTTAAGGCGATCAAGGTTGCCATAGTGGAATCGTTTGGCGATCCGCCGACTGCCCATTTCTATCGCCAAATTGGTTCTTCCCCAGTGTTGGTACACTGCAAATTTGTGCAAGCTAAAGAGCCACTGGGAGTTCGCCGAGTGGTCTTGGTGATCACCAAGATCGGTTTTCTTCACTTCTTGAGCTTGTTTGCTCCTTTTTGCCCGGTAGTGTCCTTGCCTTGCTCCTTAGCTTCATAGCTGCAAATCAACCCTTTAACATCATTTTAGAGCATAAATTAGGCATTTGAGGACGCTAAAACTATCAAAACAAAGGCCTAAATGAATCGAAATCTCGGCCTCATCAACACCCCCAATATAAACTTTTGCTTGTCCTCAAGTAAAACTCAAGATCAATCGGTTCAACAAGGATGTCTACAAACAATGCTACTTAAGACTCAACATAGATGCACACAAAAGGTTCAAACTACACATACAATGCTCAATTATGCACTCAAAGATTCAAATTGTGACTAACTATTATAAAGTGTACTCAAGATCACAATGCTTGCTTCAAATGCAAGTTCAAGCTCAACAAAGGTATTCAAATGCCCTCACAACAAATATGATTCCATAATCACACAAAAATTTCTCTACAATTTAATGTTCCGGAATCACAAACAACTCTCATACTTACAAAGATGAACACATGCATGAATCCATCCTTAGGCTTGCCCTTATTTTCCAATCAACATTCGTTTCAGCTCACTCAAGATCACAAAGGTCTTTTTAAGGCTTGTAATGAGGTTTAGTGTAAAGGTATGGTTATTTAGGCTTAGTGGCTTCTACCTTCATGAAGTATGGCTTGAAAATCACTTTTTCTCCTTCTCATTCACATTCAAACGTGATCATAATCCACCCCATTATTCAACCAAACATGAAGCACCGGACACCCCATTTCTTTTACTATTTTTACACACTTTATTTCACAACTTTTTCTCTTTTTCAGTCTTTTTCTTTTCTTTCTTCTCTTTCTCTTTCTTACTTTTTTTTTACATAGAGGGGTTCCATCTTTTTTCACAACAATCCATCAAAGAGGCAATTTTTCACACTTCTTGACTTTCTTTCTTTTTCACCACACCCCAACTTAGGATTTTGGACTAAGTTGGCTATTCAAACAAACCAATACTTCATGAAGATTATGAGTGATGGGATAAAAGAGGTCAAAGTTGTTCAAGTTTCTTCCAAGAAAAGGATAGGCTCAAAAGGTGCCAAGAAAGGTCCACACATCTCACAAGGTTGGCCACAAAGAGGTATATTGTTAAATTGGTTCACTCTTCAAAATTTTTGCCTAATATCATTTCAATTGCTTGCTTCACTAAATCAATCGGACCAACGGAGCAAATTCTAGGTGCCATTAGGCACAATGTTTAAGACAACCTTACCACACAAGGCATTGATACAATTATCAAACAAGACTTCACACTTTCTAGCTAGCGTGCAATGCTCATCACAAGAGACTTCATCGACAATCGGCTAGTCATAACGAGATGCTAAAAGTTTACATATTGCCTATGTAACTTAGTTTGCCTCACCGTAACCTCACATCCATGTCGTTCAATTAAGAGTACTATTCAAGTGATCGGTATTGACCACAACTGACAATCGAAAATGCAAGAGAACAAGGTGGTATTTCTAACAAGTCTCCACCCCACCAAAAACATCCAACATTGTCCTCAATGTAACAAAGAACTAACATAACATAAAACTAAACAAAAGACAGTAATACAAAAATGAGATGCACTATACAAAAATGAGATGCACTAGCACTAAACGAACAGAACAGGGTTAGAAGGAATCTTCACTAGGTGGCCATTCGGCAAAGTATTGTGGAGGGCGCCGAACCACTCGGCGAACCGCTTAACTGCATGTATCTCGCTAAAATATCCAGAACGCTACCACTACAATTAGGACCAAAAGGCGATCGAGATCAGATATGCCGAACAGTATCAACGCATCGCCTAGTGTGCGTTAAACATCACCGAAGTTTCCAGAACTCCGACCCTACAAGACTATGCAAAGGGCGGTGAAAGTCGGGATCGCCCAATTTCTTTGGCACATCGCCGAGTAGCCTAACTACATTGCTAAATATTCCAGCATCTGATATCACTCTTGATACCACAAAAGTGAGCAAAGTTGAGATTGCCGAGTCCCCTCGACGGCTCGTTGAAATGGTCCTGGCATCACAGAGTCACCCATACCTGCACATTAGCACACATTATTCAAAACAGTAACACTTGGGTTGCCTTCCAAGAAGTGTCTTATTTAACGTCGTGGAACGATGTGGAAATTCTTTCAAGCATCTTCCAAATACACACTTCGAGCACCGAAATATCATGACATTCTTCAAAATATACCTTCCGACGTTGCCCATTCACCTTGAAAGTTGGACCCTCTATTTCTTCAATGTCAAATGCCCCATTTGTGAAGACTTGGGTTACCTTGAATGGACCTGACCACTTAGACTTCAATTTTCCGGGAAAGAGTCTCAATCGGGAATTGAAGAGTAGCACAAAGTCACCGACTTGAAATGCCCACTGAAGGATTTTGGCATCGTGCCACCTCTTCGTATTCTTCTTATACAGTGCTGAATTTTCATATGCTCTTAATCAGAATTCCTCCAACTCGTGAAGTTGGTTTACTCTCCCTTTCACAGCCTTATCCCAATTCGGATTTAGCTCTTTAAAGCTCATAAACCTTTGTGCTCAGGCTCAATTGGGAGATGACAAGACTTTCCAAACACTAGCTGGTATGGTGACATCCCAATTGGTGTTTTGAAAGAGGTATGATATGCCCACAGAGCGTTATCCAATTTGTGGAACCAATCTATCTAGTTTGCATTCACCATTTTTGCCAAAATGATTTTAATTTCGCGGTTGGAAAGTTCCACTTGACCGCTTGTTTGTGGGTGGTATGGAGTTGCAACTTTATGTTTTACCCCATATTTACTTAACAATGAGGCAAACATCTAATTGCAAAAGTGAGATCCCCATAACTAATGATAGCTCGTAGGGTGCCAAATTGTGCAAAAATATATCGCTTTAAGAATTGCACCACACTCTTGCCGTCAATGTTGGGAAAATCTACAGCCTTGAACCATTTGGACACGTAGTCCACTACCATCAAAATATATTTGTGGCCGAAAGAACTCACAAGCGGTCCCATAAAATCTATACCCCAAATATCAAACAACTCCACTTCTAAGATAGGATTAAGAGGTAATTCAGGCTTTATTGATACCCCACCTTGTTTTAGACAAGGGATGCATTGCCTTACAAAGTCATACATGTCTCGGTATAGAAATGGCCAGTAGTAACCACTTTGAAGGACTTTTGTTGTTGTCCACACTCAAATATGATGCCTACCGACAGGTGAAGTGTTGCACGCATTAAGAATGGCATTGACTTCTTCTTCTAGTACGCATCGACAAATGATATGGTCTACACATTATCGAAACAGATATGGTTCATCCGAAAAGTATTAATTCACATCAAACAAGAACCACTTCTGCTGATAGGAGTTCAAATCCTCCGGCATAATTCCACATACCACATGGTTAGCAAGATAAGCAAACCAAGGAATGTTATTTTGGGTCAGCTTCATCACTATTTCTTCTGGGAATTCATCCACAATGTCCCTTTCTTTGGGGTTGGTCACATTAGTTTCTAACCGCAATAAATGGTCAGCCGCCTAATTTTCACACCCCTTTCGATCTTTTACTTCAAAATCAAATTCTTGCAACAACAAGACCCACCTAATCAACGTCAGCTTAGCATCTTTCTTTGCCATTAAGTACCATAACGCTGCATGATCAGTATGGACTATCACCTTTGTGCCCAACAATATGCCATGAACTTGTCAAATGCATAAACCACAGCCAAAAGCTCTTGTTCAGTAACATTGTAGTTACGTTGTGCTCCATTTAGTGTCTTGCTGGCATAATAAATTAGATTTAAGAGCTTGTTGTGATTTTGCCCTAAAATGGCTCCTAAAGCGGTACCACTTGCATCACACATCACCTCAAATGGTTCGGACCAATCTGGGCTAATGATCACTGGGGTAGAGATTAGCTTTTCCTTCAAACACTCGAAATCTTTTGAGCAAACATCATCAAAAATAAACTTTGCCTCTTTCTCCAATAGATTACACAATGGATGTGCATTTTTTGAAAATCTTTGATAAATCTCCTATAGAACCTTGCATGCCCCAAAAAACTCCGAACTCCTTCAACAGATATAGGTGGTGGCAACTTCTCAATAACCTCAATCTTTGCTTTGACAACCCCCAGTCCCTTCTGTGACACTTTGTGACCTAGGACTATGCCTTCTTTAATCATGAAATGACATTTTTCCCAATTAAGGACCAAGTTGGTTTCTACACACCTTTGGCGGACCCACCCAAGATGCGCTAAACATATCTCAAAAGAATAACCTACAACTGAAAAATCATCCATGAATACCTCCATTGAATCTTCCACCATGTCAGCGAAAATAGAAAGCATTCACCGTTGAAATGTCGCTAGAGCATTGCATAACCCAAACGACACCCTTTTAAAGTCCCGTAGGGACATGTGAAAGTGGTTTTTTCTTGGTCTTCCGATGCAATAGAGATTTGGTTGTACTCAGAGTAGTCATCCAAGAAACAGTTCCATCCACGCCCTGCAAGTCTATCGAGCATTTGATCCATAAACGGCATTGGGAAATGATCTTTCTCGGTCCAAGAATTGAGTTTCTGGTAATCCATGCATACTCTCCAACCGGTGACCGGCCTCATGAGGACAAGCTCTAATTTATCATTTGTAACCACCGTGATGCCTCCCTTTTTGTGTACGCATTGTACCGGGCTCACCCATTTGCTATCCGCAATAGGATACACTACACCTGTGTCTAGCCATTTAATGATATTTTTCTTCACCACCTCTTGCATATGTGGGTTTAATTTTCTTTGATGCTCAACACTTGGTTTGCACTCGTTATCCAATTAAATTTATGTGTGCAAATCCCGAGTTGAATACCTAGAATATCAGCGATAGTCCATCCTATTGCCTTGATTTACCTTTTCAATACCTCAAGAATCAATTTCACTTGACACTCAAGCAATTCAGCTGCAATGATAACGGGTAAGGTATTATTCGCCCCCAAGAATGCATACCGAAGATGAGCGGGGAGCACTTTTAACTCAAGCTTGGGCGGCTTCTCCGTGGATGGTTTAGCGGGAGGACTCTCTCGATTCTTTAGATCAATGTCTAGCTTCAATGGGTTCCTTGAGTGCTCACTTAACCCCGATAGAGCAGCTACTACTTCATCATACCCTTAAACTTCGGTTTCATCATAATTCGAAAGAACAACCTCAAGAAGATAACTCATACGCATCATTTTGCTCACACTAGCCACCGCTTCATCAATCACATCAATCATGGAAACTACGTGAATGTTACTATCTTGCTTCATTGATTTGCACACATTGAAAGTGACCTCATCTTCATTTATCCGAAACTTCAATTCCCCATTTTCAACATCCACTAAAGCTCTTCCGGTTGCTAAAAATGGCCTACCCAAAATAATAGGAACCTCAACGTCAATCTCGCAAACAAGAATAACAAAATCAGCCAGCAAGATGAATTGATCCACCTTTACCAAGATGTCATACAGTATTCTAATGGGGTGCTTAATTGACCGGTCCGCCATAAGAAGCCGCATTGTTGTGGACTTTGATTCCCCAGCCCAAGTTGTTTAAAGATTGCATAGGGCATCAAATTTATACTTGCCCTTAAATCACACAAAGCTCTAGCAAATTAAAGCATACCAATGGTGCATGGGATGGTGAATTCTCTCGGATCCTCTTTCTTTATAATCATCTCGCTAGTCATAATGGTACTACAATTATGAGAAACTTTGATTGTTTTAAAGTCCATGCTTCGCTTCTTAGTGACCATCTCCTTCATGAATTTTGCATATCCTGGCATCTCCAATAATGCTTCCACAAACGGAAGATTTATAGAAAGTGTCTTAAACACGGATAGGAATTTCTTGAACTCTTCATCCTCATTTTTCTTTCTGAAACATTGAGGAAATGGAGGAGCTATTTTGGGAAGAGGTTGCATTATCTTTGGAGTTGAGATAGCCTTTTCTTTACCTTTTTTCAACTCATCGGTGGGGCTTTGCTCAAGACTTTCCTCCTTCTCTTTGAGCATGTCACTTTTCGGTGCTTGAACGAGTCTCTCTTTCTCATCGATATTTTTCTGTTCTTCATGAGTGATCCCCCCCATTATATTTACCAACTGCTATCTTTCCACTTCGAGTCACAACTGCTAAATCTTTGTCATCATCAACCCTTAAAGTTGGTACACACTCAGCTTCACCCCTTTCAAATACCATGGATTCTAGTTGTGCTGAAATTTGGCTCAATTGACCTTCAAGTTGTTTGATTTCATCTGCGTGAGAGTTCATTCTATTATTCAATGATGAGAAATTGGCTTTCATCTCCTTAAGTGTTTCAATATATCCTTCGACCTTATCTGGGATATGCGACAACAATTCATCCACTCGTAGGTTACCCGAGCTATCCTTTGATCTTGGGTTGTCACTTGATTGCGTGTGGTCTTCTTCATGACTTTCATCTCTCCTCCAAGGGTCATTTTGTTTAGCCCATTCTTGATAATATTGTCTCCGCTCTTCTTCCTTATAGGAGTTCCAACCTTGATTCCCACCCTCCTTTGAATAGCGCGGATGAGAACCCTCCTCAAGTCTAAACACTCTTCTGACTTCTTTGGGTTCACCAACATTTTCTAGCACTTGTTTTTGTAACAACTCCAATTGGGACATCATTTTGCTAATATTCTCATCCCTCTCTTTCTCTTTGTCAAGTTGCTCTTTCATCATCCTAAAACTAAATGGGGAAACTTGGTCCTCTTGAGTGTACCATGTTTGATTGATCTTTGTCATTTCATCAAGAACGGACGAGGCTACCTCAAATGGTTGGAGCATTATCCCTCCTCAGGCCAGCTGGTCTGCTACTCCTTTGTTCACTAAGGAAAGACTCCTATAAAATTATTAAAGTGTCACATCACCTGGAAGCCCATGAGTAAGACATTGTAATAGCAACTTTCGATATCTCAGCCAAGTCTCATGAATCGGTACGCATTTTCACCATCTTTGAAGGCGGAAAGAACCTGACGTAGAATATGTCGGTAAGCTCCTCCCATGATAAAATGGAGTCCCTTGGTAGACTTGCTAGCCAGTTGGTTGCGTCCCCATTAAAGAAAACGGAAACATTCGGAACCGAGCTGATTCTTGTGTAACATCCTTGAGTGAGAACGGGCTGCATACCTCCATGAAGTTATGAATATGCTCATGGGGGTTCTCATTATCTAGTCCCCCAAATATGCCCTTAGCTTGTAAGAGGTGCAGCATTGTGTTTGTCACATGAAATTCAGCATGATCCACAACCGGAGGTAAGTGAATAGCACCTACACACCTTAATAGAGCTTCATTGTCATGAAAGAACTCACCACCATCATCTTGTTGACCACGTTGGTTCACGGTGATTTCAGTTGCACTCATCCTATCACCGGATCACAAACAGCTCACAACAAACGGTAAGTTGATTCAACTACAACACAAAGAAATCACAATTCAAACTTCAATAATAGAATTCTAAACAACACCACTCCCCGGCAGTGGCTCCATTTTGATTAACGCTTGACTACACCTCATCTAATACTAGGTGTAAACGATTGTAATCTAGTATAAACCCAACAATCGAGTTGGGGTCAAACCCACAGGGAGCGGTACAAGTTTGAATTCAATTATTAAGTTATAAATGCAATTTAGATGGTTGTAGGAATAGAAATTGTCAAAAATACTTAAATAAATCAAAAGGGTGACATAAATGTTAGATGGGGAAAATGGCGTAAATTAGCTACCAAACCAATCACGACCAACAAAGGTAATCAAGTAATTAGGAGATACTCTGGGGCATTACCAACTAACTGTCACTTTCGCTAAATGGGCTCTCGATAATTACCAAAGGTTTCTAAATCTTAGTGGGTAGGCCAGACCTTTGATTCAATAGTTTTCTCTCTAACAATTACTATGATTCAAGTGATTTCTTTCGAACACAAACAAGCTTAACAATATAAACGGCCCAAAACCTCGCTTTATCCACTCTTTCGAGCTAGATAAGTAGCCTTGAGACTAGGATTCACTCTCACGAGCTAAACCGACAACAACCTAAATACTACAAACGCTAAATTATGACCTTGGTTTTACACCTCTCTCTCGAGGAAGCATAAAACACTAAGCAAAATTTCAATAAGAAATCCAATTTATCAATTTAACACCAGTTATAAATCAAACCCACATCAAAATAGTAATAACTTCAATATTCCCTAACACCCATCAGCTAATGTAGATAATTAGTCGCATGGTCATACCCCCAAGAATGAGGGTTTTAGCTACTCATTATAAAATTAAGGATTCAATACCTATTACATTTTCCATGGCTGGGTATTAATCTTCAAAACCTTAAAATAAGTCAATGTAGCTTCAAATACAAAACCCAATTCGAAATCTACTTGAAAATTGCTTCAAAAACTAACAAGAATAGTGTTTTCGTTCTAAGTCTGAGTTTTTACAATGTTTTCAATGGCTTCTCTCTTCAAAAAATCAATTTATACTCTTTCAAAATTTTGCCTTTGGGGTAAATCGGTGAGGTAAGTCGCGCTTCGCCAATAGGTCGACGAGTCACCAATCGCTCCTGTCCATCGCCTTCTTATCTTGAGTTTTCGTCTATTTCACATGGTGACTTTAGGCAATCTATGCTGCTAATCGATTTCGTGATGCGCCTTTTGCTTTTGTTGATCGTCATTCTGCTTGCATCCTCACTGATGGTCCTGTAAACATCGGTGGACTAACCCCTCATCGTTGGTCCAATGGTGAGTCACCGATAGGGAATGTCGTTCGCCCAATTTCTCTCGTCTCAGGAGTGGCATACTGTAACTTTGGGCGGGCTAAAGAGCCACTCAGCGGTTTACCGAGTGGTTTTGGCGATCACTAGGATCGCGTTTCTTCACTTCTTCAGCCTTTTTATTCCTTTTTTTCCTGGTAATGTCCTTGCCTTGCTCCTTAGCTTTCAATGGTGCAAATCAACACTTTAACATCAGTTTAGAGCATAAATTAGGCATTTGAGGACACTTATACTATCAAAACAAAACCCTAAATGAGTCGAAATCTCGGACTTATCAGGTGTGTGTGCATGAAATATGTGGTTGTAAAACCCAATGGGTATTGATTTATTATCTCTAAAATTGGTTGTTATGCATGAATCTATTGTTGTCTTGAAGTTTTTAGGTAAAAATCATTGGTTGCAAACATTTTTTGAACTCTCTAACACTATTTGGGCTTGAGAAAACAAAACATAGTTGGGCAAAACTTTATTAGTGAGGACTTGGTGAAATTATTCATTGGATTAGAACTAGAT